GTTTACACATTTTCGGCGGCTGCCATATTTTGCTCCTTATGCAAACGTGACGAGCATGACTTCCTGCCACATAGTGCGCGTGCCGCCCTGCCGCAGATCATCATCACATGCGGATCCGCTGAAGCCGTTGAGCACTGCGTGTGACGTCAATCCCTCTGCTGATGTCATCTGCGCGGAGCCACTGACCTCACGCGCTCTTCACTGCATCTGCCCTGATGAACCCGCAGTTCAAACCGCTCGAGCTCTCGGCGCTGAACGTGCGCGGCGCGTGGACTGAGTGAAAGTAACCAGATTGGGTGCAACTTCCCAAACCTGTCACAGGTAAGCGGCGCTTAATACGATTTGGGACGATATTTTATTTAGGCCTCTGTCAGATGAGACAGGACTGTCTGTGACATGCTGCATCTGCGCTTGGGAGAGTACTCGTGCCTGTTCATGCATGCCTTCAGTTGCAGCGCAGTTTATGCGTTTATGAAGCTGGTTTGAAGTGATGGATGCAGTGCAGCCTCTGAAGTGTCCCAGTGTGTCCCTCCCTGCGCTGCGATGGAGTAACAGAGATGCTGTCTGTCATGTTCGTCATGGAGATCAATCAGATCAGAGCAATAATGTGTTTGATGCAGATAAAACAGAGGAATATGCATATGGGTTTTTAGGTTAAATAGACATAAATAAATAAATAAATTAGAAATATTTTATATAAAATATCAAATAGATATATTTAAGTTCAGCGTATTATAAATTTATTTTTAAACATAAAATATATAGATAAACAATATTATAATATGTCATTTATTTGAATTAAACTATTTAATATGTAAAATAAAAATAATAAATCCCATAATTTTATGTATGTATGCATGTATTTATAATGAGATTTTGTAATATTGAGAATACATAATTAATATTTTATGAATAAAATGAATTTGAAATTAATTATTAAATAAAAAAGTTGTATATATGAAGACTTAAGATGCAAAAGCCTCAAAGTGCTATCTGAAATTTTCTTCTAAAATTAGCATATTTATCATGCTTGTATATTTAAGTTCAGTAATTTCACTTTAATGGCAATAGGTCATTTTCATTGGCATTAAAGTGAAATAACTGAATATAAACATACAAGCTTGATCAGAATGATTATGCTAGTTTAGAAGAAAATGTTAGATGGCACTTAGAGGCTTTTGCATTTGAAGTCTTATATTATTCAATTGATTATATATTATTTAAATAAATATTTATAGATCTAAAATTATATATTGTGTTAATTAAAAGGTGTTAAATCTGTGTACATTTTTATATATATATATATATATATATATATATATACACACACACACACACACACAAACACACACACATATATATTATGAATTTTATTTAAAAACACGTTAAAATAAATATGTTAAATTTAATATATAAAGTACATTAAATATAGGCTATGCTTGATTTTTTTTTTAACAATTCAAAAAAATTATATATATATATATATATATATATGTGTGTGTATATATATCAAATGTGAAGGTTTCTTTAAATAAATAAATAAAAAATTGCCTTTGGATAATAGATAAGTTTTGTAAACTGGCTCTAAACTCTCTGTCTCTGTCCCAGGCCGCAGGCCGTCATTATCGCCTGCTTATACAGTCAAAAGTCAAAGGCACATTGATGTTCGCGCCTTTTAAAGCTTTCTTTGCTCTTTGGTAATTCTTTCATTCTTTAATTGGAGATCATGATTCATAATTCATTCTAATTAAGTCACGCTTGCACATGAGATATAAAAATTGAAGATTAATTTGTCTGCAGGGCAAGGTGTGTATGTCCAATAAAGACTCTTATGGGCTTTTAATATTTAATTAAGCCTGAACTTGCCCTCTGTTCATTTCAGGCCCCTGACTAAAATGTGTTTGGCTCTGTCTCAAATCCTAATGAGCTGTCTTCCTATTCAGCATTTTTGATATCTCAAGAGTGCTCTGTGTGTATTATGCCCAAGATTGCAGTGTAGGTAGCAGGATCTTAATGTCTATGGTGTTTATGTCCACTCCTGATAGGGAGTGAGATAACTTGGGTTGGACACAAAGTCAAGGTTAATAATATTGAAAGCACAGGGCTCCAGACATAGACACTGACAAAGGAGTCACTGGCTCCTAAAATGCAACATTTACTAAAAAGTATATTTTAGTTAGAATAAATAACCTAGATACTGACTGATTGTTGTTCCAATGGTCTTTCTTTTACAGTTGATTCAACCGTACAATTGGACCTCACATTGTAGATAACAATATGTGAAATGTTTTTTTTAGAAGACCATTATTAGGCCTATTTTAGAGCAAAACTCTGTTGTGAATATGTCTTTAATCACATGTAATCATCACAGAAGTGATTCCCGGTGAACGTAACTGAAACTGTTTGTGAAGTCAAGGTTAAAGGGCCCCTGTCATAGCATTTGAAATCTTCCTATTTTTGTTTTAGGAGTTCCCAAAAACAGTTTAACGTGCATGCAAGGATAAAAAAACACTTTATTTGTCTTATAATACGCATTTATTTTTAACTGATTTGCTCAACGACTCCCAAGTGATTTGTTCAACAATTCATTTTTCCAAACACCTCCTTTGAGTGACGCGAATCTGCGGCGATTGGTCAAATGACCCAGTCAGAGACTGTCGGCAACGGGATGCCCATAACCAGGATTATAGCTTGTCAAGTGTTGAAAATTGTATAGTGTTTGAACAAACGTGTCAGAAAAAGTGCACGTCCACACGGTCCCTTACTCACGTCTCCGTCAGGAGCGAGCTTTCCCAGTGAAACTCACATTGCGGGGGCTTTTGAGGGGCAGTGCTTATTATATAGAGCTTAGTCAGATTTGGCTAAGTCGTTTAGGAGGTAATTGCCATTTTTCAGTGAATGTCTGGTGAATATCAAAAACAAAACTAACTTTACCCCGCTTAGAAGCTGCGCGGAGTGTACATAACACACATAACTATATTGTGCATGCTACAGAAAACATAATATTACTTACAGATTGTGATTCGGAGGAGGATGAACCTGATCCAAATACACTGGATACTGAGCCCTCCTTCGGGAACAACCGGCTTGCGAATCAACACATTTGAATTCATTTATGTTTTTGAATTTTGAATGATTCGTCATTAAACTGATGAGAACACAAGGTTCGGGCATTGCAAATATGAACTCTGACCACTGATTCTTCACATGCTCGTCCCTGGACAGTGGAAACAAGTGGCTGAACTGTCTTTGCAATGTAGAACACAGCGTCTTCTCGACATGATGTGTTCTAGACGTCACTTCAAGTCTGCGCACCGAGTTGTTGGGAGCGGCCAATGACCTATCTACGTCACGATGTAACAGCTAATGACTCGTTTCAAAAACAATTCATTTCATAGACTCCGAGTCGACTCTCACTTTTGAAAGACAATAACTTTATATACGGTGCACTTTCAGATATAAATCTTTGCAGGATGTTTTCGTTCCCTTAGAGCTATATTCCACACTACATGAACAGTCATTTTCAAAAATCCATGATGGGGCCTGTTTACACCAAGGAAGGACGATCACTATAACAATAAAGATATAGTATACTATATAACTATTCAAATTGTAGCCTCTTTTTCCTATTTGTAGTTTCCTAGATGAGTGGTACCCGGTACTCAGGTCTTCTGCTGTTGTAGCCCATCCGCCTCAAGGTTGTGCGTGTTGTGGCTTCACAAATGCTTTGCTGCATACCTCGGTTGTAACGAGTGGTCATTTCAGTCAAAGTTGCTCTTCTATCAGCTTGAATCAGTCGGCCTATTCTCCTTTGACCTCTTGCATCAACAATTTTTCACCCATTTTCACCCACAGGACTGCCGCATACTGGATGTTTTTCCCTTTTCACACCATTCTTTGTAAACCCTAGAAATGGTTGTGCATGACAATCCCAGTTCTACCAGAAAGACTCAGGTATACATAAAAGCAATATACATTTATTGACAGCTCAGCAAGCATAAATTTATGAGTTCTTTGGCGTAGTCCCCGTCCTTAGCGAGCAAAGCGAGGTTTGCCGAATCTGCATGTCCTGCCTGAGATTACTGGAGGTAAGGAAGGGAGGTGGTGGTGGTGATGGGGAGGATGGAGGGGAAGGTACCATCTTGGTGGAGGTTGGGGAGGATGGAGGTAAATGGCAGCGTCAGCATCTGCGAACTCAGACAAGTGTAAGTACCAATCTTTTATACTATGACTGTTAGCACCTGATTGGATAGAAATGAGGTTATACATGACGCGCTAATTGAGAACTTAAGCTAAAGCTTTCATTAACTGAGCAGATTGTGAAATACTGGCCCATCTGGCACCAACCATGCCACGCTCAAAATCGCTTAAATCACCTTTCTTTCCCATTCTGACATTCAGTTTGGAGTTCAGGAGATTGTCTTGACCAGGACCACACCCCTAAATGCATTGAAGCAACTGTCATGTGATTGGTTGATTAAATAATTGGATTAATGAGAAATTGAACAGATGTTCCTAATAATTCTTTAGGTTAGTGGAATTTTAGCAATAGCAAGCTTTGAAAGCCTGAGATCTCACCCTTCCTTCAGAGCGTCTACAAAGCCACGCCATCTCCAAAATGAACACGAACAAGGAGCTAATATAATAACAATGAACCTAAACAACTTGCAGTGCTCTTACTAGTACCACCTGATCGCCATTGAAACACAAATATGAGTCACGAACCGCTTCGAGTAAAAAGTCACAGCTTTACATCTCTTCCAAATTACAGTAGTTATGGAGAACAGTGACTTGTCGCTCATGTAAATAACAAAACTGAGTGAGCGTAACGTGTTAAGGACTCAGGACTGACAACCGTATTCTGCTTTAAATTGATATCGCACATTTTTTCTTTAATACTACAATTTGAGTTCAACCAGAAAGACTCGGGAGAATAAATACTGTAACAATAAATACATTTATTGATAGCCCAGCAAGCAATAAAGTTCTTTGGCGTAGGCCCCGTCCATAGCTCTCAATCCGAGGGTCCGGACTCTGCATTTCCTGCCTAAAGACGAAGGCAGGGGCGCAGCCGACCCCCTAGGAGGTATAGGAAGGGACCATCCTGGTGGTGGTGGGGAGGTTGGAAAGGAAGGGACCATCCTGGAGGTGTAGGGGAGGATGGAGGTCAATGGAAGCGTCAGCATCTACGAACTCAAACACGTGTAAGTACCGGTCTTTTATACCGTAAGTATTAGACGAGATTGGATAGATGAGAAAGTAATTAGTGACGCGACAATTGAGTCTTCCTGGCAGAACTTACCGCTAAAGCTTCCATTTCTTAAGCCAGTTTTTAGCCATTCTCCGTTCTCGATGGGTGTGTCTGCTTGTCTTTCTCTGAACGCAAAGAAGAGAATGAATATTGCAGATGATCAGGCTTCTCTCTGTTTTTCTTTCTTCATATTAGAGAAAAAACACCGTCTGGCTGAGAATGCTTTCTGAGGTCAGATACGCAGAGATGCATTTGGAGGATCTGTTATCCAGCCGTGTGTAAAGATAAACACGACTTTAAACTGTAATTTTATCTTCTCTTGCCCTGACAAGTCTCATTTCTGTGTGTGTGTCAGTGCTTGAGTAAGAATGAAACCCTTTGGAAAGCACCAGTCTTTTATTTGAACCTGTCCAGTGGACAAGCATGACTTCATCATTACCTCACAGTTCCCCATTAACGCTTATCAGAAACATATGAGCTCCACATGCTGACTGCGTTCTGCCATGGAAACTTTTCATTTTGTTTTGAAGATGTGTGGAGTGTGTGCGAGTGAGTGGTGTTTTTATTGTGCAAGTTACTCTCACTTTCTTTGGTCTTGCCGCTCCATGCGAGTCTAATTTCGGGTTTGTTTTATCCTGGTTTTCTTTCTCACCGTTTGCATGCTGAGAGTACTTTTGTATGTAAATGTGTTTTGCGCTGATAATCCTTTGATTTAAATTGGGGAAATGCCAAACTACGTGTTTTCAAAGTTGACTAGTTGTGGATTATCTGAATTATTGGACTAATCTGACAATCTGTCACCCCACTTTTTGAGCGTAAATAGTTGTAGTTTGGAATACAGACCTTTGGTTGGTGTCTTTTATTTTTTATTTTAAAGCTACACTGTGTGATTTTTTTTTTTTTTACCCCCATCTAGTGGTGAAAAGGTATATGACCATCCAGTGAATATTAGTTTCTGTTCCTCTCAATTCCGATTTCGTTTTAACTCCTATGGTAGCCAATGTAGTCCAAGATTAACATGGCTTCCAGTTTCACCTCGTCCATGAGTGTTAACTCAAACGTAAACGCGAAAGGCGAAGTTTGAACTAACGGGTATGTCCCTCTTTGGCTAATGTACTTTCAAGATGGAGGGGCAACATGGCGACCGACATTAGAACCCCTTACCCATATGTATTTGCAATGGCATATTATACACTCACGAGAATACTTTGATTACTTGAACGAAGTAAATATATATTAATGAGCACATATATTTTTGAAATAACTAAGTGTTTTTAGCTAAGAATGAACTAAAAGAGTTACACAGTGTAGCTTTAAAGAAGATATTCAGTATAGATTATTGCTAGTTGTTATTTGCTATTAGCCTATTTGTTAGTAAATGAGACCGATGCTGTTTCTGTGAATTAACGAAATCATTCAGGTGATTCAAAGCCATTACTTGCGAGTTTTTGAGTCTTTTCGACTGATTCATTATTACAGCAGCCATCTCTCAACAGTCATTCATTCATGATATGTCCTAAGGCCAAAATCAGACTGTTTTTGCACCAGCTTTTTAAAGGATTAAAAATGTCAAAAATAAACAAAGTTTAAGTTTTATTTGCACAAATGCTCGCCTTGCTCTGTTCTGTGATTCACGTTCGTGACTCTCCTGTTCATCAAACTGAACGAATCTTATTTCGAGTCATTTTGTTCGTTGAATGAGCCAAATGGCTCGAAAAAATATTTGTTCATTTTGATGAACCAGTTCAAACAGGAGAGTCACGAATGCTCATCACAGAATAGAGCAAGGCGAGCATTTGTGCTTATAAAACTTTGTTATTTATTTTTTAAAGGACCGAACATTTCGCTTGATAAGACCCTTATTCATCGTCTGGAATCGTTTAAAGCCCTTTGAACAGTTTGCACTGAAAGTGTCTTTTGGACCTTGAACCGTTTGGTTCCCATTGAAGTCCATTATATGGAGACAAATCCTGGAATGTTTTCATCAAAAACCTTAATTTCTTTTCGACTGAAGAAAGAAAGACATGAACATCTTGGATGACATGGACATGGGGGTAAGTAAATTATCATCAAAAGTTTTTTTAAAAAGTGAACTCCTTTAAGGTCAAGAGCATGGGTTGTAGTTCAACACATGTAAATGTCCTTGCTCTTGATGTCTTTAACCTATGAAATACCCTTTTAAGCGAGGGATACCTCTTATTATCATTTGAAGACCCCTTAAATGAGAGTTTTATAACCTAAAGTCCATTGGAGAAGAACATCTGCATTGACATTCCAGATTCCGGTCGTTTCCAGTCCAATTTATAAACCCACAAAATGGCGCCCAGCTGCATAATGTGGTCTTCGACATATCCACATATTGTTCCGTGGGGATATTTGATTATAGATGAACAAGCTAAATGACAGAGAGCAACATGGGCAAATCTTGTAATATAATTGGATGAGCCGGTGTGGCATAACAAGACCGCATCATTGTCAGGAATTGTGTCTCTGTGGGATAAGGGTCAGAATAATCTCTTTATACATGTGTGGGTGGAAACAGGCCCCATAGAGATGGTTCTCACAGACTGTAACACAACTCTACACCAGCACAGGAAGTGAGAGGAGGACAGACCCCATGAGATCGCTTTGGATGTGACACTAAGGACCCTTTTCACAGACTTTGAATGGGCTTATGTCTTGCCCAAGAGATCTTTTCCATGTCCTTTTACAACGTCCTTCTGTTTAGAGGAGATGCGACAAGTTTCCAGTCAAGTTATGTTTCTGTCCTCGGAAAAAGTGAAGCCACAATTTCATGACCAGTCAGAATTTTGTTTGATTTGGAGTTATGTGGAGCATGATTTTTATTTTATTTTTATTTTTTTTTTATCCTGTACTGTATCTGCTAAATGAAAGTCATCAGGTGCAACCAAAACAAAGCATGAAATGGAAAAAAACAACCACTAACTAAACAAGTCTCCTTTTATAGTTCGCTGTGATTTTGTCAAAGGTTTAATAGACTCAGGCGAATCATTGTCGTTGTGGAATAAGATCACATGGGTGTTTGAATCGAGATTGTGACCTTTTGTCGTTAAATCGTGCAGCTCAAATAAATGGAAAGTAATACGTTGAATTAAGCATGAACTTTTGAAGTGGAAAGATTAGTATTTTCTTGTAAAATGTACCTCGAAAAATCATTTGTACAGTGTACATTTACTTGGTGATACCACATAACAATTTGGTAACGCTTCCTTTTACAGTACAGTACTTACAGTGTACTTACAATGTACTTACCTAGAAAGAACTGGCTAATATAAGGTAAGTACATGGAACAGGGGTAGATTTAGGGGTAGGTTCAGGGTTAGTACTAGTTACTACCCAGTAACTGTAGTTACTAAAATAAGTACATAGTATTTACATGGGTAACTGGACTGTAAAAGAAAGCGTTACCGACAATTTTATGCCTGGTTCAGATTACACGATTTTTTTTTTTTTGTCTGTTACGATAGTCACTGTGTCAGATTACACGATTTTGACTCCTAAAATCTTGTCTTGTCGTGGATGAGAAACATATCAGACTACATGTTGCTTCCTGACCAGTCATCGCATGCCGTCTTTAACGGTGCGCGTGATGTCATCGAGAAGGCGAAACTAGTAGCGAGTGACTTCCAGAAACGAACGTAAACAAACAGTGAATGAAGCGGTGAGTGTTGTATTGGCTGTCCTGTGTTCAGAAAAAAAGTCAAAAAAGAAAGAAAACCCAACAATTGACACGTTCCTGGATTGCTCGAAAAGGACAGTATGGGCTGTCAATCCACCAAAGAGAACTTGAGGTAAAATATTGTTTTCTTATATATTTTTACTTTTAGCACCATCGTCTCTCTTTCGTTTCGCCATTTTTGAAAGTTGTGTAAGGAAAAGCTTCTGTGCTCCTATTGGTCAACCTTATACATGTGACGGAACCGTCGTGGATGACCGTTAAAAAAAATTAAACATGCTAGTCTTTTTGTCGTGATGTCGTGAAGCATCTCAGACTATGTTACACTACATGTCACCCACTATGACACACTATACGATCAAATCTTGCGTCCCAACGCCCGTTGTCGTTTACGAATCCCCACGACACCCTATGTCAAACGGAGCGTGCTAAAATCGTGTGTTCTTAACCAGGCATTAGAGTGTTTGAATTTAAACTTTTGTTAAAAATGGTGTCCAAGTTTTTCAAAAACCTATGTCAAGTTTCTCAGAACTTGGAACAAATATTCCGTCTTCGTTGTTTTATCCATTAGCCGGTGGCGAACAAACTAAAAACATAGCAGGCCTATCAGCGTAGCATAGTGATATCTGATTAAGACGCATTTAGATTAGCAAAAACATGGTCACAATAAAGCCCTTCATTTTTTTATAAATGTTCTGTACTTTTTTGCTACAATTTCTACATTACCTATTATAATGGTGGAAATTGGCAATATTCGCCCTAGTTGGCCAAAACAAACTTTGTTCAGTTATTTTCCTGTTATCACTGTAAAGCTGCTTTGAAACAATCTTTACTGTATTGTAAAAAGTGCTATATAAATAAAGGTGACTTATTTTATTTTTATACCACAGATGCAGAAATTGATGCATATTGATCTATGAAATTTGCATAGCGTTTGGTATACATGTCTAAAAGATGGAAATTCTCTACATTTTTAACTGGAACTCCACTTTCCCTTCAAATTTCCTTCTTGAATTTATTTCCCTGAGCCACCCCCCATCTCTCTCTCTCTCTCTCTCACACACACACACATACACACACACACACCTGCATTTCCCGGCCTGATTATATATGTAACTTTTTGTTTTTGTCTGGTTTTTGATTTTAATTCCTGGACTGTGTGAATGTAAATGGAGTGGCACTCGGGGTTCCTCCGGTCCAGCCGAATTCCTGCAAGCAGAGAATCCATTTGCATTGATATTAGCAGTCCTTCGCCATGGTTACAAGGTCGTACCCTGTGAGGAAAAAAAACGAGAACGAGATGCCAAGAGCTGACTCAAATGAGTTTGAGACGGAACTGTTTGATGTCCCAGCCAGTTTTCTGCATGCTGGATCTGAGAGGCCAGACGTCTTACGCAAGAGTTTCAAATCAGACTAACTAAGATAAAT